TTGATATAGAAATTTTTTTTTTTGTTTTTATGTCTTTACTTTGGTAAAGTTTTTACATTAATAAAGCAAGGTCCCGGCACTAAGTGCCATTATTTTGAAATATGTTATTTTTGAAGTGACTTGCACTCTGTGTAGCGTGAAATAAAGAGGTCCTGTGGCTTCGCCATTTTTTATTTTTACATAATTTTTACATGATTCTTGTAATGCAATTTGCGATTATTAATTAGTGGAGATAACCTTTTTCCTCTCTAGTTCGAAAAAAGAGAAGTAGTTATCCTGCTTGTTAACTATAACCTGCTAACTATATATTTCTGGCTTCGAGTGGGATGCTGAATATTTACTATCTCTTTCCTGGCATATATATGAAATCGGATGTGATAACGGAACTATTTTCTATTCGTTCAGGAGCAACATCATCATCGGTTTGCGATTGCTTCTGTTCCAATTTCGCAACCCTGGTTTTAAGTTCGATATTTTCAACCGTAAGGTTAGCGGTATCCATTTTATTTTTCCTTCCTAATGCCTCAAATTTTGTTTTAAGACAAGCCTTCTAGTTATCGCTTTGCTCTAGTTTCTTAATTCTAGCTTCATACTCAGCTTCACGCCTTGTTCTTTGTTTTATTATCTCTTTTAGCTTCGCATTCTCAGCCTCAACCTCAGCATACTTCTTTTTACTTTTGGTATTCTCAGCTATAAGCCTGGAAATCTGTTCTAATGAATCGTTTTTAAATTGTGTGTTTGTCATTGTTTATATAAGATGCGGATATGTTCAAAAGCAGAAGTTTGAATTAATAAAATCACGTGATAAATCCGTGAAGAAAATCTTCACGATTGGAAAAATTATTGATTACACATATACAATACACGAAAAAATCACTTTTGCCAAGAAAAATTCCCGATCATATATATCGATAGCAATACAATAAATAATATACATGCAAAAGTAAACTGATTATGTGTGCGAAATCAGCCACCAGGGCCAGTTTTATTAATAAGTAAATGTAAGGACTGAAAAAAGTAAGTACAAATATAGCGAAATTAATGATTAAGAATAAAATCGTTATAACGGGAAAGTTTGATAGGAGTTTTATGAATAATATCAAGGGTAAGATTAAGAAGAGTTAAAGGAAGTCGAGTTTTAGTGGTTAGAATAATAGGGAAAGATTCGGATTTATTGGCCTCTTCTATTGCATCGGGTGAAAATTCATTACCAACTACAATACCTACAACACCTTCTTCTAAACATACTACCCCTCTTAACTCTGATAACATCCGGCCCTATAATTAATTAATTATTAATAATATTAAAAATAAACTAAATAAATAAACACAATATTTACCTATTTTGTTATGCCAGTTTTTAGACTGAATATGGATTTTTTTCTTTTCAATTTTACTAAGTATTTGTTGAGTTATCATATATCCGAAGTTGCACTGCCTCACTGGTGTAAAATGTCTGAGAAAAAATTGAAAGCTCTTCGTGGCCTATGTTTCGACATAGAACGTTCTTTTTTCTTAGTTATTTGGTGTTCCTGCGGTTGTGTGGTACACGGGGAATTAATGGGTAAATAGGATATATGCTAACTAATGAGTGCGTCACCGTAGACTATTCCGGCCGTGCGATATTTAGTTGTTAATGACTATGACATAAATACTTACTTTATTATTTAATAATAGCGGTAAAGGAGATGGTGGTGTCGATGTAGAAAGTAAAATTGAAAAGAAAAAAATCCATATTCAGTCTAAAAACTGGCATAACAAAATAGGTAAATATTGTGTTTATTTATTTAGTTTATTTTTAATATTATTAATAATTAATTAATTATAGGGCCGGATGTTATCAGAGTTAAGAGGGGTAGTATGTTTAGAAGAAGGTGTTGTAGGTATTGTAGTTGGTAATGAATTTTCACCCGATGCAATAGAAGAGGCCAATAAATCCGAATCTTTCCCTATTATTCTAACCACTAAAACTCGACTTCCTTTAACTCTTCTTAATCTTACCCTTGATATTATTCATAAAACTCCTATCAAACTTTCCCGTTATAACGATTTTATTCTTAATCATTAATTTCGCTATATTTGTACTTACTTTTTTCAGTCCTTACATTTACTTATTAATAAAACTGGCCCTGGTGGCTGATTTCGCACACATAATCAGTTTACTTTTGCATGTATATTATTTATTGTATTGCTATCGATATATATGATCGGGAATTTTTCTTGGCAAAAGTGATTTTTTCGTGTATTGTATATGTGTAATCAATAATTTTTCCAATCGTGAAGATTTTCTTCACGGATTTATCACGTGATTTTATTAATTCAAACTTCTGCTTTTGAACATATCCGCATCTTATATAAACAATGACAAACACACAATTTAAAAACGATTCATTAGAACAGATTTCCAGGCTTATAGCTGAGAATACCAAAAGTAAAAAGAAGTATGCTGAGGTTGAGGCTGAGAATGCGAAGCTAAAAGAGATAATAAAACAAAGAACAAGGCGTGAAGCTGAGTATGAAGCTAGAATTAAGAAACTAGAGCAAAGCGATAACTAGAAGGCTTGTCTTAAAACAAAATTTGAGGCATTAGGAAGGAAAAATAAAATGGATACCGCTAACCTTACGGTTGAAAATATCGAACTTAAAACCAGGGTTGCGAAATTGGAACAGAAGCAATCGCAAACCGATGATGATGTTGCTCCTGAACGAATAGAAAATAGTTCCGTTATCACATCCGATTTCATATATATGCCAGGAAAGAGATAGTAAATATTCAGCATCCCACTCGAAGCCAGAAATATATAGTTAGCAGGTTATAGTTAACAAGCAGGATAACTACTTCTCTTTTTTCGAACTAGAGAGGAAAAAGGTTATCTCCACTAATTAATAATCGCAAATTGCATTACAAGAATCATGTAAAAATTATGTAAAAATAAAAAATGGCGAAGCCACAGGACCTCTTTATTTCACGCTACACAGAGTGCAAGTCACTTCAAAAATAACATATTTCAAAATAATGGCACTTAGTGCCGGGACCTTGCTTTATTAATGTAAAAACTTTACCAAAGTAAAGACATAAAAACAAAAAAAAAAATTTCTATATCAA